AAAAAAAAAAAAAAAAAAAAAAAAAAAGGAAAAAAGATACCCTAATAATATACTTTAATTTACTTACAGCTTCATGTTTGTTTTCTCAGTAGCTGGCACTTCAATGCAAAAGTCATGCTAGTGAGTCTTTCATTTTAGAGTAAATCCACAGGTGTAAGCCATCTTGTCTGGCTTAGGTTTTTGTCATTTTATTTTTTGAGAAAGGGTCTCTCTCACTTTGTGGGTTAGGCTGTCCTTGAACTTACTTTGTACCATGTATTGGTCTTGAATTTGAAGCAGTTGTTTTTTTTGAAAAGGTTTTTATTATATTTATTTAAGTGTGTAGATGCATTGATGCATTTGTATACTACAACACCAGTGTGGAGGTCCAAGGACAACTTGCAGCTTGGTTCTCTCCTACCATGTGAATCCTGTGAATCATACTCTCGTCACCAGGCTTGGTAATAATTGCCTTTCCTAGCTGAGATGTCTCACTGCTCTGAAACAGTTCTTTTGTGTGTAGCTTCCTTAGCGCTTGAATTATACACATGAGTTGCCATACCCAGTTCAGCCCCAGGATCTTCTCTTTGTTATATATACTCTGAATGTATTTTTTTTTTTTTTCGAGACAGGGTTTCTCTGTGGCTTTGGAGCCTGTCCTGGAACTAGCTCGGTAGACCAGGCTGGTCTCGAACTCACAGAGATCCGCCTGCTTCTGCCTCCCGAGTGCTGGGATTAAAGGCGTGCGCCACCATCGCCCGGCCTACTCTGAATGTATTTAAAATTAGTTTAGGGAAGGCTGGTGAGATAGCTTAGCGTGAGTACCTTAATTTAATCCCCAGAACCCATGAAAAGGTGGAAAGAACTTCCAAAAGCTGTCCTCTGACCTCCACACGTACCATGGAACACACATACAATAAATAAAAATAAAATAAGCTGGGAACTCGGCTTCTATTAAATAACAAATGTGGTGCACACACATTTAATCTCAGTGTTCAGGAGGCAGACACTGATAGATCTTTGTTGAGTTTGAGCCCAGATTGGTCTATATAGTGAATTCTAGGCTAGTCAGCACTACATAATGAGACTTTGTCTCAAAAAACAAGATAAAATCTCTGCTTATTATATGTGCCTCATTACTTTTAATTTTAGCCTCTTGTATTAGACTTCAGTTTTTTTGGTTCCATTAAGCTTCCAGGTAAGCAGTTATTTCAGGTCTAAGTGTATAATTAGTACTTCTTACCAGGTTAGTAAGTTCTAAGGAACCTGCCTGAATTCTTTACTTCATCATGTATTACTTCAGCTTACCAAATGGAGGGATTAATCAATTCATTAAGTCAGATGAGCTCATCATCTTTGGAAATGCCATCAGAGGTGTGCTCTACTAACCTCATAGGCTTTTTTTTTTTTTTTTTTTTTTT